AAGGCTCTGGCTGCGGCGGCGGCCGGCAGCTCAGCACCTCTGTCTGCACTGCCGGCCCCAGTCCCTTCCCAGCCTCATCCCATTCTCCTCCCAGCCTCTTTCCATCCTCATCCCAGCTCCTTCCCAGCCCCTTCCCATCCTCATCTCAGCCCCTTCCCAGCCCCTTCCCATCCTCATCCCATCCTCATCCCATCCTCCTCCCAGCCCCTTCCCATCCTCATCCCAGCCCCTTCCCATCCTCATCCCATCCTCATCCCATCCTCCTCCCAGCCCCTTCCCAGCCCCTTCCCATCCTCATCCCAGCCCCTTCCCATCCTCATCCCATCCTCATCTCAGTCCCTTCCCAGCCCCTTCCCATCCTCATCTCAGCCCCTTCCCAACCCCTTCCCATCCTCATCCCATCCTCCTCCCAGCCCCAGCTCCTCCCCAGCCTGCCCTATCCCATCCTATCCTCATCACCGTCCCTGTCCCATCCCTTCCCCGTCGTGGTTCATCCCTGCCTGCTGTTCCCATCCCATCCTCACCCCTCTCCCGTTCCCAGTTCTATCCCATCCTACCCCTGTCTGCATCCCATCCCATCCCATCCCATCCCATCCCATCCCATCCCATCCCATCCCATCCCATCCCATCCCATCCTCACCCCTCTCCCGTTCCCAGTTCTATCCCATCCTACCCCTGTCTGCATCCCATCCCATGCCATCCCGCCCCATGCCATGCCATGCCATGCCATGCCATGCCATGCCATGCCATGCCATCCCATCCCACCCTTGTCCCCGTCCCTGCCCGTCCCCTCTGCAGCCCCCGCAGCCCCGGCAGGGCAGGGTGGGGGAGCAGCCCCCAACCCAGAGCAGCTCCTGCCCGGTCCGGGCCGCACTGGAGCAGCCCCAGCGCAGCCCCAGCGGGCCGAGGGGCAGGGCCCGGCCCTGTCGCCCCGGGACACCGTCCCCGCCGTCCCCAGCCGGCCCCACCTGGGTACTGGAGCGGGATGTCGATTTTGGGGCCGATGACGTAGTGTCCCTCCTCCAGGCTGTGCGCCGTCACCGTCGTCCACTGCCGGCACGAGTGGACCAGCAGCACGTCCTGGGCCGTCACCCCCTCCACGCGCTCCCCTGCGGGGGGACAGGGCTGTCACCACCCCCAGGACCCCCCCGCCCCCCCGGGCGCCGCCGGACGGAGCGAGGGATGAGCAGGTGCCGCTGCCAAGAGCTGCCAGTTGCCCGGAAACAATTTCTTTGTCCCCCTGAAAAGCTGCAGCCGCCGCAAACAAGAAGTTTATTGAGCCGGGCCCGGCGCGGGCCCCCGCTCCCCATGGAGGCACCCCGACACCCCCAGGGCCCCTAGCACCCCTGTGCCTGGGCCTCTCGGGCACGCCGGGTGACACTGCACGCCTGAGGTGACACTGCCACGCCAGGGTGACACTGCCACGCCAGGGTGACCCCCTGCGCCCCCCGCTCCCCGAACCCCACAACCCCCCCCAGGCGGGCAGGGGTCACAGCCAGGACCCCCGGCCAGGCCGTGTCCCCAGGAGCGTGGAGAGGGACGCGGTGGCTCCCGGCCCGTGCCAGCAGCTCCGGCGTCACCCGGCAAAGGTGACAAGGGGGACCAGAGCTGGGCTCATGGGGGGCTGCCCCACACCCCCTCACCCCCTCTGGGCAGGAGCGCAGGGACCCCGTGAGGGTAGCCCTGGCCCGCCGCCCCAGCCCTCGGCCCGGGGATCCGACCAGCCCTGGACCCGGGACAGCAGCTTGGGCACATCTCACCCGCCCCCCAGCCTTCCTCCCTCCCTCCTCCTCCTCACTTCGCACTCCCTTCCTTCTCCTGGTCCCTCCAGTCTTCTTCCTCTCTCATCCTCACCCTCCAATCTTCTTCGTCTCCTCTTCTTCCAGCCTTCCCCACTCCTTCCTCCTCGTCCCTCCAGCTTTCCTCCCTCCTCTTCCTCATCCCTCTAGCCTCCATCTACCCTTTCTCTCTCCTCTCCATTCCTTTAGTCTTCTTCCCTCCTCTTCCTCACCTCTCCATCTTCTCTATTTCCCCCCTTGCCCCTTCACCCTCCATCTCTCCCTCCAAGCCTTCCTCCCTCCTCCCCATCCCTCTGCCCTCCACTCCTCCTTCCTCATCATCACTCCAGTCTCCCTCTCTCCTCTTCCTCCCTCCCTTCTCCTGGTCCCTCCATCCTTCGTCTCTCCCTCTTCCCCATCGCTCCAGCCTCGCTCCCTTCCTCCTCCTCCTCACTCTCCAGCCTTCCTCCCTCCTCCCCATCCCTCCGCCTTCCACCCCTCCCTCCTCCTCATCACTCCATCCTTCCTCCCTCCTCCTCATCACTCCAGCCTCCCTCTCTCTGTCCCCTCCATCCTCCCTCTCTCCCTCCTCCCGGTCCCTCCACAGCCTTCCTCCCACCCCCCTTCTCCTCCCCACCACTCCAACCTCCCTCCCTCCCTCCTCCTCCTCCTCCTCGTCCCTCCAGCCTTCATCCCCCGGGGCGCTCCCCCGCCTGGCTCACCCTGCCCGAGGCAGACGAGGGTGGGCAGGCGGCACTGGCTCACGATGGCGTCGAGGGGCAGCGCCGCGGGGCTCCAGCGGAGCCGGGCCAGCCCCGCCGCGAGCTTCTCCATCGCATCGCGGCTCAGGCCGGCCCCGGGCCGGGCTCCATCGCCGCCGCCGCCGGGCCGGGGCCGGGGCCGGGGCGGGGGCGGCAGGAGCGGGGCAGGAGGACCGCCCCCGCCCGCCCCCGGCCTCCTGCCCGCCCGCCCCGGCAGGCAGGACCCCGGCGGGGGCGGGGGAGGCGGCGGCGGGCGGGGACCCCGGCGGGCCCCGAGCTGGGCATCCCCAGGAGGGGCCGCTCCGGGAGTGCCCCGGGGGGGACGCGCTGCCCCGCGGGGAGGGCGGCTCGGGCCGCGTCCCGGGGGGCTCAGCCCCGGCTCCCTCCGGGGTCCCGGGGGGCTCAGCCCCGGTTCCCTCCGGGGTCCCGGGGGGCTCAGCCCCGGCTCCCTTTGAGGTCCCGCGGGTCTGGCTCCCTCTGACCGCCGAGGGAACGGGGCGAGGGGGAACCCCGGAGCCCCCCGATCCCGCCCCGTCCCGCTGCCGGGGAGCGGAGTCGCCGGGAGCTGCCGGGGGAGCTCCAAGGCGGGGCTGCGAGGCACGGGGGGCACAGAGGGACCAGTGGGGGACAGATTGGGGACCCCGATGCCGCCCCACACCCGACCTCCCGTCCAGGACCCCCGACCCAGCGCTCCCACACCGGGACACCGGCACGGGGAGAGGGGGGACCCCGGCAGGGACACCTCAGTCGGGGCGACCCCCGACAGGGGCATCGTCGTCACGGGAACCCCCCCGGCAGGGACAGCGCTGTCCTGGGACCCCCGGCAGGGACGTCACCGTCACACCGAGCAGGGGTCCTGCAGGTGGGGACTCGCGGCCACCCTGAGCTGGGGACACCAGAGCCGGGGTGTCCCCGCACCCCCCGCGCTGGGGACACGCTCACTCACAGCCGGGGGCCTGAGAAGCCCAGGCCGAGCTCTGGAGTGTCGTGTTCCCCCCCGACCCCCTTTTCTGGCTGTATCCGCACAGCCCCGCACGGCTGGAGACTGGGATGAGCAGGATGAAGGAAGGGAGGAAGCAGAAAGCGCCTGCGGGGCCAGTGCCCAGCCCTGGGGACAATGTCACCGTGTGCTGTCCCCTGCCACCCCGCGGACTCCCCCCACGCACCCCCAGGCCAAGCTCGGGGGCTGCTGGCGGACAGGGTGGGGCAGGGATTGGATGGAACAGGGATGGAGCAGGGACAGGGATGGAGCAGGGACAGGGATGGAGCAGGGACAGGGACAGCAGGGAGGACACAGCAGCAGGAGGATAATGGGGAAAACTCAAGGCTCGCTGACAGGGACGACAAGGACAAGCAGGACACTCATTGGGAGCCGCCGCACGGTGCCCGTGGGGAAAGGTCCCTGCCGGGCCCCTCTTCCCGAGCCCCCCTGGGAGCCGCTCACACAGAATCCCCCCGCTCAGGGCGATGGCTCCGCAGGGCTCCCACCCCCTGAGCCCCCGGCCCCGAGCTGGATGGACTCCCCACCCCCAGGGACGGAGGGGATTTGGGATCGCTCGGCTGCTCCCCACGGCCCCGTCCCCCCGCGACGGGACCCAGGGGCTGCCGGGGCCGCGACACACTCACAGCTTTATTCCCACCAGCAGCACAAAACCGGCCTCTCCCGGATACCGGCACCATGGGAACAGGGACACCATGGGAACAGGGACACTGTGGCAGCGGGGACACCATGGGAACAGGGACACCATGGGAACAGGGACACCGTGGCAAGGGACACCGTGGCAGCACAGACACCATGGCAGCTGGGACACTGTAGTATATGGGACACTGTGGCAACAGGAACACCGTGGGAACAGGGACACCGTGGCAGCAGAAGGGCAGCAGCAGGAACGTGTCTTCTGCCATCTCAGGGCCGGGCCCTGGCTGGGTTTTGCAGGGCAGTGGCATCCCCGGCCCCCAAAGGCTGCGGGAGAGCCGGGGACACCCCCAGTCCCAGGGGCTGTCAGAGAGGGGACGGTAAGGACAGGGAGGGAGGGACTGGGCTGGGCTGGGGGTGCCAGGAGAGCTGGGACACCCACCCGTGCTTCCCATCTGTGGGACCAAGGAGGTGCAGAGGGACGGGCTGGAACAGCTACTTTCCCTAGGAATGTTGGCAAAGATTCTGTCCCCGTGGAGACCCAAGTGGAGACTTCACAGTGCGAAAAGTGTCCCCCACCCACGGGGGCTCCACGTGGGGATGCAGCAGCCTCGGACACACCATCCTGTCCTCCTGCATTTCCCACCATCCTGCCCTCGGAAAACACCCCCTGCAGCTTCGGGAAAGGCAGGAGGAACAGCTCTACCTCCAGCCAGACCACTCCTGAGGGTTCGGGAGGGGGGAGGAATCATCCCACCTCCTCCAGGGGCTCGGCCGCTCCGGCCGGAGCCAGAGGGAATTTAAGGGGGCCCAGGAAGTCACCACTGCAAGTTTATAAAAGCTTTTATTTGCTCTTGGTACGACCAAGAATGGGACAGTGATCTTTTATACAATTTGATACAGTAAGTGGTACAAAAGAATGTGTTTTAAATAAAAAGCCAGAGTGGAGTAGCAAAAATATTAAAAGATTAAGTAAAAAATTGTCGCATGGGAATTAATCCAGGACCTTGATGCTGTTTTATTCCACCGTCCGAGTCCGAGGGCACGAAGCGCCGCGGTGACCACGGCCCCCACGGCCCGTGCCGCTCGTGGGACAGAGCCACGCTCAGGTTTGGTTTTGTCGGGACCAATTGAATCGTTTCACACGTTTTTGTGGCAGAAAGGCGGCGCTGAGCCCCCCACCGTGGGCAGGGCCGGGGGCACCGAGGGGCTGCAGCCGCCTCCGCCCCGCGGCTCTGCCCCACGCCGGGCAGGGCTGCTCCCAGCAGGGCCTTCACAAGCTGGGTACCAGCAGGGAGTTCAGGTACCAGCACAAATCCAATTACTGCCAATTCCTCCAACATCATTATTTTTTTTTTTTTGGAGGGGGGGGGTTATCTCTTTTCAGCATCGGCACCGACCCCACGCCCGCGGGTACAGCTCGTGGTTGGACAGGAACAGAAAATAGACCAAATAGAAAGATTTCAGTTTATTAACCGGGGAAGGGGAGGGGAACGGGGGCGGCAGCGAGTAGGACCAGCGAGTGGCCTGGGCTCCACCTGGGGCTCGCACTGAGCACAGCGTCTACAAAGGGGTTACACAGAGGAGCCGAGCCCCTGGGAGCGAGTAAGAAGCTCACGTTTAAAACAAGGATTATACAAAAAAACCCTCGATGTATATTCGCCATTTTTTTCCCTTTTTGATCACGTTAGAAAGTGCAGATTTAACCGAAAGCGGTCGGGCTCTGTGCAACGCTGAGCGCCCGGCCCGGCCCCACCAGCCACTCGCCTGGGAAGGGTTAAAACACACACGGGGACAAAATGCCAGATACAGAGGGACAGGGAGACACCTCGGTGAGTTACTACAGGGGGAGGAGACACCTCGGCGGGTCGCTCCGGGGAAGCCGCTCCGAACGAAGGAGGAGTTCCACTAAAACACCGTCATTGCATTCAAATTCACTCAGCGTTACCCAAGTGCTGCGAGGACCGACCCAGCCAGTGCCGGCCCCGCAGGAGGAGCGGGCGGGGCCGGGGAGGCAGCGGCGCGTCCACCATCGCGTGTCCGTGGCCAGAGCTCAGGCTCCGGGCGGGTCCTGAGCCCTCCTTCAGGCAGGACGGAGCCCCCGGCCACGGGTGACACCAGCACAGGCCCGGGAGACGGGGCAGGCGAGCTGGAAAAGCCAGTCCATGGCCGGGATGAGCCGCCGCGCTCCCAGCGCTGATCAGGGCAGGGCTGACCCGGCACGGCCGGCTCTGCTGCCAGCGCTGCGGGGTGGAACGTTGTCAGGGAGGGAATAAATTAAACCGCCAACTGGCTGGGGTTTGGGTTTGTTTTTTCCTCTCTTTCTCTTTCAATCCAGTTCCGCTCAGCCCTTCGCTCGGCTCCCGAACCCCTCGGAGCGGCTGACGGGGAGAGACCCTCGGAGCTCGTGTTAATGAACCGCTGTCAGTTCGGGAATTGCATGTTATATTCATACACAGAAAGCAGACAACCACATCACCCTCCAGAGAAACTAGTGCATGCAAATAACTCTTCCATATGGGAAGCCCCGGGGCTACGGGAGAGGGGTCGCTAGTGACGGACATGGCTAGGGGGGTTAGTAGGGATCTCCACATCGTTACCTCGGAAGCTAAATCAGTGCTTTGTATTAAAGTTTTTGGCAAACACTCCGCGTTGCCATCCTTTTCGTTAACACATCACACACCATGAAGAAATGCAAATCAAAGCAGCATGCAGGCAAAAAAAAAAACAAAAAAAACCCAAAAAAAAAAAAAACCAGAACAGAACAACAGAAAAAGGAAAGAGCGGCAAAAAGTGAGAAAAGAAAACGGTAGCAGGGAGAGTCGGGAACGGCGGGATCGCCAAGAGGAGACACAGCAGGTTACATGGATTCTGCTTTTTGTTTGCACCACCCTTTGTCCTCGATGCATGACACCAACGGGTACAGAAAGCAACCACTACAGAGGTCGGGACTCAATGGCACGGGGGGATGGGATGTCTCCTGCACATGCTTCCACCAGAAAAAACAGAAAAGAAAGTGAAAATAAAAGTTCCTTTTTCCACATAAGGCACAGGACAAAGAAACCCCACTCACGGACTCAAGGCGAAAATGAGTGTTTTCCTGGCTCTTGCTGATGCATCTAGAGAGTATGGGGGACTCAAGCACATGATCCATGACAGAAAATTCCACTGTTGTACAAAATCAATTGTTAATTCTAACTTTTATTCTTATACAATTTGCAGAAGAGTTGAGTATGATTGCTCTGGGGTTTAATGGCAGGAGGGACGGGGCTATAATACAACCCAAACGTAGTGGTGAGTTGAGCAGGAACATGGAAAATGAAGTCACGGAGATGGATTTCCTATACATGTGGTTGAGAAAACTGGAGTAGGCAAAGCTGTCCTAGCCGGAAAACCAGGGGGAGGCAGGAGCTCGTTAAGATGAGGAACAAAACATTGGTTTAAGGTTAAAAAACGGGCAGAGTGGTTTGTTTTGCAGCGAGAAAAAAGGGGCGGTGGATGGCGATTGGTGAGAGAGGAGAAGGTTCAGCAGCACTTGCTCTTCCAGCCCGTCACCCCACCGCCACTGCTGATATCTACATTTTCACTGTTGGGCTCTTTTACAGGGGTCTGCAAGGAAACAAGTGAGAAGAGTTAGATGGCTCGGGAGATTCCTGGGAGGACATCCAGAGCTGGAGAGCCAGTGGCTGGCGAGGACTGACATCACCAGATAGCGCTGGGAATAAACCGTGCACAAAGAGCTCCTCAGAAACGCAGGGAATCCTCCCCCCGCTCCAGCACAAACATCTACAACCAACTTCAGGGTTGTTTTTTTTGTTGGGTTTGTTTTAAATAAACAACTGCAAAGCTGGGAAAAAACCCCAGTGTTTGAACTCAGACCACCCCAAAGTCAACTGGAACTATTTTAGTTCCTGTGCTCGGAGCTGGCGCTGGACTTGGTGGAGTAAATAAATCCCAGCCTACAACCAACACAAGCTGAACTCAAATTATGTGAACTACTGACCTTCAAAAACCACAGTTTTTATGGATAAAGAGGGGTTGTTCCAAGCTCTGCTTCCTGCTCCTCAGGATAGCAGCTCCCGAGGCAGAGGACACACAGATTCCTCCACATCACAGGATGGAACTCAGCGGGACCAGACAAAAACCCCCCTCAAGTGGGTTTGATCCGACACCAACATCTACTTCCAGCTGGTTGAAAACTAACCTAAACCCTCCACACACTTCAGTCTCTCTATTCCTTCTTCAACTCTCTGTCACAGCCTTGCAAAAGAACCCCCCAGACGTTCAGATCATTACTGAGGCCAAAAATGAAGATTTAAGGTCCAAAGGGTCGCTATGATTTGTAGCCCAAAACCATGTTTACCAAAGGCTGGGGATTTTCACCCAGTCCCTCACACAAAGCTCATCAAAAACTGATTAGGAAACAACTGAGAGCTCCAATGACAACGGGGTGACGCTGCCAGCAGCGTTCCCGTGGGAGGGAGGGGGAAGACAGGGATGAGGCTCGGGATGGGCAGGAGCAGAAGCACAAATGCCAGGGCTGGCCAATCCACATGTGTTGAGCTCCACAGAGTTTCCATCAGGGTCAGTGTGGCCTGGGCAGTGCTGGGGCATGGCTGGTGCTCTCAGGGGGCTCTTCCAACCTCAAAGATTCCATGGCTCTGTGGCACATCGTCCGTTCCAGGAAGGGACACCAACCACCAGAAGAACTGGTGCAAGGCAGGGCCAGAGAGATCCCTGGGAACAACACTGGGATGACAGAGCTCCTTCCTCCGCTCCACCCTTCCCACCAGGCCCTCAGGAGTGCCCAGACAATGCTGTGCACTGCCAGCTGACAGAGATGGTGGCAGGGGAAGGACAATTCTCACCTCACCGGTGGAAATGTTTTAACTCCAAGGGAAAGTACGACACCACCACGAGTTTAAGGGCCAAACAAGGAGGAATCTCAGCTCCTTGGCTCTTTGATGTGCATTATTCCCTGTAGGTACCACCCCCACAACAGCAAAACATCAAACAAGGTTCAGACTTTCAACACTGCTCCTTCAGGGACTCGTTTGCCCCGGCACACCCGAGTCAGACGCTGCAACAGCTCAGGTGAACATCAAAAGCAAGGGGAGGAGAGGTTTGGGGATGTTGTTTCACAGCAGTGCTGGGAGCACTTACCTTTCGAAGAATGTCTTCTGCTAACGTGAGGAATGCCTTCTCAATGTTTATATTTGCTTTTGCACTAGTTTCGAAAAACCTAATACCGTGCTCCCTGGCAATCTGGGCAAAGAGAGAAGGAGCAGAGTGAGCCTGGGATATTCCAGCGGTGCTGCCACTGCCTCAGGATCAGCAGCACTGACAAAGCAAAGCAGGGAATACTGACCATGGACAGGGAAGGGAACGGAGCTGGGAAGGGGCTGGAGCAGCAGGAGGGGCTGAGGGAGCTGGGGGGGCTCAGCCTGGAGAAAAGGAGGCTCAGGGGGGACCTTCTGGCTCTGCAATCCCTGACAGGAGGGGGGAGCCGGGGAGGGGTCGGGCTCTGCTCCCAGGGAACAGGGCCAGGAGGAGAGGGAACGGCCTCCAGCTGGGCCAGGGGAGGGGCAGGGGGGATATCAGGAGGAATTTGTCCCTGGAAAGGGTGGTCAGGCACTGGCAGGGGCTGCCCAGGGAGGTTTGGAGTGCCCAGCCCTGGAGGTGTCCCAGGCAGGCCTGGCCGTGGCACTCAGTGCTCTGGGCTGGGGCACAGAGGGGATCCACGGGCTGGGAGGGCTTTTCCAACCTCAGGGATTCGGTGACCCTCCCAGCCCCAGCCAGACAAGGTGGCTCAGAAGAAGTTTCAGAACTTCCTGGTTCCGTAACAGCAATTAAAGTGCATTAAATAATCACAATTTGGGGGTGGGAGGACGGACAGCACACGCTGTCACACGGTGAGGAACTTAAAGGATGCCTGGGAGTTTTGAGTGATCAAAAGCAGCAGAACCTGCAGCTGAACTCATCCCATTCATGGCAGCCTCCCAGAAAACATTCCCAGGACTCACAGCCCGTCAGCAAATCCAGGTACTGCGTTTGTTCCCTGTCACATCCCACGGGGCATCCCAACCCCTGGAGCTGCTGGGAGGTCCTGCCAGGGATCTGCTGACTTGGACAAGGAAGTTTTTGTGTGACACTCACCTGTTCACCTTTTGCTTTAGGGACAACTCTTTTATCTTCCATGTCACACTTGTTTCCTAACAGCATCCTCTCCACGTCCTCGTTGGCGTGCTGCAAGGACACGGGGACAGGGTCACCCCTCTGCCACCCTCCACCAAATCCCTGCTCCACTCTGGGCTGTCCAACACCCACAGCCTGAATTTGGTGACATCTACAGCTGCCAAAATCCAGCTCCATGCACTGGAGCGGTGGCTGGGCTTTAATTACAGGCTGTAATTAAAACGCAGCCTCCTAATTACCCCCTAGAGCTGGTTAATTGTTTTCTCCTCCCCATTTTGCTGCTGCTGCACAATGAGGAGGATGAGCCAGGGGAGAAAGAGGGACTGGGGAGGAAAACAGGAGGCAGGACCCAGAGAGCATGTGGGAGAGAAGAGGTTTGGAAAGGCAGAGAGTGGGTCAGGGGTCAGTAAAAGCAAACAGGGAGGTGAGGGGTCGGTGTTTCCTGAGTGGTGTCAGGGATGTGGCACTTGGGGCCGTGGGTCAGGGCTGGCCTGGGCAGTGCTGGGCTGGACTCAGTGGTCTCAGAGCTTTTCCAACCCAAACCACTCCACGGTTTCTGCAGACACTCCACCACTGAGCTTCTCCCACAGTAACAGAAAGCTTCCTAAGGTGTCAGACATCCCTTCTAAAGCCTCAGTCACTGAGCAGACTCCACAGAGCCCCTGAAGTCAGGTTTGTGTGACACAGGCTGAAAACACGAGGCACCAAAAGCACCCCAAAAAGCAAGAGCTACTCATTGTGCTGCCCTCTTAACATCTCAGAGCTCCTGGAGGGTGAACGCCTGGGCACCCAGGCACTTTGTGCTCCTCCAGCAGTTTCTTCTGCTTCACTTGATGACCTCGCTTGGGACTTCCCAGCCTCCCTGTCCTGGTTCTCCTCTGCCAAAAGGGCAATGATCAGCTACACAAACATTCCCAGCAGCAGGTGGGAATGTTGCACCTGCAACAGCCAGGAGGAACTCCCAAATCCTTCATGACATGGCTTTCAGGGAGCAGAGCTTATGAGGTTATATATATATATGTATATATATATATGTGACACTGTGAAGATTTAGAGCCACACTCAGGTACTCTGCGTGGTGACACTCTGTGCAGCTGCTCTCCAGCCCACAGCTTTGTGCTGCCCCTCTGCCCACGCCGTGGGGTGGCAGCTGCTCCCAAACCAGCACATCCCAGCTCCAGGGGTGCTGCTCCCCTCCCTCTGCTCTCCACACAGACAGACTTCGCTCACATGCAATTTTAGGATTTTAGGTATTTTAGGACACCACAAGCCCCTCCTGGCAGCGCTGAGGGGACAGCTGTGGGGACACAGGACACGTGAAGCCCAGCACCAGGGCCTGTGTGAGCGTCCACCTCCTGCCAGGGCCGAGCTCCAGGGACCCCTGCCCTGCTCAGCGGTCCCCACGCACAGCTCAGGTTTGGGGTCTCACCTCATCGATGTTCCTGAGCCACTTGCTGATGTTCTCGAAGCTCTTGGCGTTGGTGATGTCGTACACCAGCATGATGCCCATGGCTCCCCGGTAGTAGGAGGTGGTGATGGTGTGGAACCGCTCCTGCCCCGCCGTGTCCCTGCGGAAAACGGGCCCCGTCAGGGCAAGCTCCAAGGAAACCAGCACAGGGCACCCATCAGGGGGTGTGCTCTGCTGCACCGTTCCCAAGGGATGCACAGGGCTCTCCAAGAGCCTGGAACTGCAGCCCACAATGACCTGACCTGACTGTCCCCTCACCACGATGCCCCAGCAGCTGCTGAGACAGTCACAGAGACAGCCACAAGCGTTTTCTGACTCAGACTCAACACTGAGAGGAATTTTTAGGTTTGGATCAGTTTTGTGAAGATTCTACTTGGCCTTACAAACGCATTTTCCTGAAATTTTCAGTCTGAGAGTGCGACACAGAAATGCAGGAGTGCTGTAACGTTAAATGTTGATGTCTGCAAGCTGAAAACTTGATCCTGCAGCATTAATGACACTCTGGACTGTCCCATCTCATTCTGGGATGTTTGATGGATGGATGAGATTTGGTTAAGCAAACCTGCACGCCAGTAACTTGAGAATCAGGAGGTGAATTCCTGTTCTGCAGTGCCTTTCAGAGGACACAAACCCAACAGATCCCAGGGTTAGAGACAGTTCTCAGTGACACTGGTCAGGGATGGAGCTGCCAATTCAATTTGTTCACACGCTGGATTTCTGGCCAAGGATCAACTGGAACTGGGGAGTAAATGGAAAGCCTTGAGATGCACAGATGTCGTGGAGGAGAGGCCCTGAGGCGCAGAAGATGCTCTCTGAATTGTCTCCTCAATGAGTGCTACGGCTCCAGTTTGGCTCCGACCCCGGAGGCTGTTCCAGCACACAGGCAGCTGATCCCTGATCTGCTCCAGGGACTGACAACATCAGGAGAAGGGCAGTGAGCAGAGGAGGAAGAGCAGGGGCTGGTCCCCACTGGAGCACCCCAGTCAGGGATGTCCCAAAAGGCCGAGGCCTGGACCGCTGGCTGTGGCCTCAAAGGCAAATCGAGCCCATTCCCAGCTCCACAGAACATCCAGGGATACCCACACTGCTCCCCAAAGATGCCTGATGTGCTCTGGAGACCTTCCCCAGCCCTCACTCAGTGGCCAAAGGCCTCAGGAGCAGCCTGCCCTACCCCTCCCTCCCACCTGCCCATGTCTCACACAGCCAGGGCCCTGCTCCAGCCCCACACTGGGATATCCTCCAGACACTCCTCTCATCCCACTCCCTGCCCTGAGGAGCAGGCAGACTGTTCTGCCATCTGAGGACTGATGGCACACTCTGAGCTCTAACTCTGCATTTGGCTGCTCTGAATTCCACAGGAGTTTTTCCAGTGATATTCCTGCAGTCAGCTGAAAGCGATGGAAATTATAACCCAGTCCCTGATACCATTTATACCTCACAACTTCCCCTTTTCTGGCTTATCCTAAACCCAAGAACCACAGCCCATCCCCTTCTCCCAGCTGTGAACTCTCCCCTGGGAGGGTGGGCAGGCCCTGGCACAGGTTGCCCAGAGAAGCTGTGGCTGCCCCTGGATCCCTGGAAGTGTCCAAGACCAGGTTGGACGGGGCTGGGAGCACCCTGGGTTGGTGGGAGGTGTCCCTGCCCATGGCAGGGGGTGGAATGGGATGAGATTTAAGGTCTCTTCCCACCCAAACCACTCTACAATTCCATGATTCCAGACACCACCGCCTGCCATCCCACTCAGGACAAACTCCTGCAAATCATCCCCACAGATCTCCCCTCACATCCCGTTTATTTTCTCTCTCCATGAGTTCTGCACCCCCTTGCCAGTGCCTTTCCCCAGGTCATTCCCTCTCACTCGCTCCTGTCCCGCAGGACAATGCTGGAAAAGCCTTCCCTAGCCCACCAGGTGTTTGGGATCTGTGGCTCCTCCCTCCTGGAGGATCCAGCAGCGTCACAGGAACAGCTCTCAGTGGGTTTGACACAACTTGGCACTGGCAACAGGGAGCTGCTACTCCCTGCTTGTCACATCCTGCAACCACCTCGCTTGGTTAACTCCTCCAGTGCTTTTCCTGGCAACTGGAGCTCAGCTGGTGGAAGAAAAAGCTGGGGAGGGAAAAAAGCAAAGAAGCCAGAGCGTCTCCCTTCCTTTTCTTTACAATAAACCCACAGCTGCCCTTTCCCCTCGTTAATGGATTCTCCATTCATTATTCAGAGATAACTCCTAATGGATGGGAGTCAGGGCCGGGCTGAGGCAAACACAGGAGGTGAGTTATGGCTCTCCCAGTGCCCAGGAGTGCCGGATCCACCCTGAGCAAACGGCAGGAGCCGGTTGGAGCCACGCGCCTTGTTTGCTTCCCTGGGCTCCCCATCCCTTTGTTCAAACCCCAGGGAGATGGGAACGGGGCTCTGGGTGTGGATGTGAGCACAGGCACGGGCACAAACTCTGAGCTCACACAGAGGTGGGCAGGGATTGCAGGGATTAGGGAGGCAGCCAAGGGAGGGAACTGAGGGAGCTTGGATGGTTCGGCCGCGAAGAGAAGACAAAGGAGGTCGTCCCGTGGGACTGGGGAAAGGAGGAGCACGAGGAAAGTGAAAAATCTATCTGAGTGATTCTCATGCCAACATTAAAATATGCATAAGCTGTATCATATTAGAGGTTTAACCCACAGAGAAAGGAACTTGTGGGACAGCTTTCCGGCTGACCTGGCAGAGAATAAAGAAACCTTAAAGTGCAGGATGATTTATTGATGAGGGATTTACATGGCTGCAGAGATTAGATCTGGTGATCTGTGAACATCCCCCCAGCTCATGCTGCTCAAAATGAAGGCCTTCCACGTATTAAACCAAGCAATTCCTGGCAAAACGATCCCAAGAATTGTACTCCTGTCCCACTCTTTCTTCTTGCTGTGTTTGCCAAACTGTGCAGAACATTGCAGTGGAGACACCTGTCCTGCTGACACAGAACTGGGAGCTGCAGGGACCAGGCTGAGGACTTGCCCTCCCAAATTGTCCAGCCCATGGCCTGGACAGGTGTGCTCCAGGCTGGGATAAACCTGGGCCCAGGGAATGGTGAGGAGTGGAGTCACATCCAGCTGGAAATGGGCTCCAGTGGTTTACACAGGGATCAGCACTGGGACCAGACCTGTTTAACATCTTTATCGATGATCTGGACGAGGGGATCGAGGGCACCTCAGTCAGGTCATGGATGACACCAGGGTGGGTGGGATGTGGATCTGCTGGAGGGCAGGAAAGCCCTGCAGAGGGATCTGGACAGGCTGGATCCCTATTTCTGAGAAATATTCAGACAGGAAAAGGTTTAAAAAAATCTTTAGCCGGCGAAGACTCTGACTTGCCAAAGGAACATCTTCCACCTGCACGGTCTCCAAAACCCTCAGCACAAAGAATTCCCTTGGAGATGTTCCTGGGGCAGCTGCAGAATCACTGAGGCTGATGGCACCGGGGCAGTGGAGCTGTGAGCAGCTCTGCCTGTTCACCACCACGCTCAACTTGCATGTCACAGGGAATTCCCACACCTGGAATCATCTGGGAGAGCGACTCCACAGGGCCCTCAGCTGCACTGCTGACCCAGGGCAGAGGATCATTTCTGCAATGAGCTCACTGCTGAACAAAAGGAGATTCTGAGGACTCTTTTCTGGCCATGGAAATGTGTTGGCAGCAGAGATGAACCAGAGAGAAACGTTACTTTGTGGCCTTCCACACAGTTAAGAGCCACATTCTAAAATTTGAGAGCTCTTTCTAAAATTTGGAATCAGTCAGCAGGATTGACACACAGATGTTATTAAAGACAGGAGAGCTGGAGGAGCAGCTAAGCAGGAGGAAAGGAAAGAATTAGATGTTTAGGTGACAGTGATACTCCCCTGAGCCTGTGCTTTACTGGCATGACAAACCCAGCTCTGCTCTTTGTGCCTCCTCACAAGCACCTCAGAGCTGTTCCTGGGCAGGCCAGAGCTTTTCCAGCTTCCACTTCCCTGTGGTTCAAGCACTTCTGAAGCCAGAGATCCCCTCTGTGGATTGAACTGTCCAAGCCAGGCTGCTCCTTTGTGAAACCCCCTGTGAGCCCATCTGTGTACCCTGCAGCTCCCACAACATCCCGAGAGGAGCTTCCTCTCCTGGCGTTTCCCACATGCCCCCTCACGCCAGGACTGATGTTCTGCTGCTGGAAAAGGCAAGGGGTTCCATCAGCCCCTCCCCACCTGCTCAGTGTCCTCGTGACCTTAAAGACGTGCTGTGACACCCTGAGGAATCCTCTTCCTTCCAGCTGCTCTTCCTTTTCCTGGAGCACTGGCCTCTCCCTCTGCTCCTCTGTTCTCCCTCCCCTCTCTGCACCGTGAGCTTTACTGTATTAACATTTTTCAAGACATTCATCCCTGTCAACCCCTCCAGGTCCCACCCTTCGCTGGGATTCTCCCAAATCCTGGACTGAGCCCATCCTGAGCGAGTGTCACAGCCACATCTCTCCCAAACACAGCAGTGGTACAATAACCCCACTGAGAAGATCCTCGGTTTTCTGCACGTGCTTCCAGGCAGGATTTGACACACCAGGGGTTCTCCTGATGGATCTGTCCTGGGCAGGCTCATTCCCCTGGAAGGCCAGTCCCAAGAGAAGTGTCCATCCTCCTCCTCACACTCTGGCATTCCCCAGCCTGGCTGAGGCTCCAGAGCTCCCTGACACAGCACCAGCCCCACCTGCCACCCAGTTCTCCCCTTCCTCTTATCCCAACCCCGTTTTGCACCAGGCACACTTCCATTTGGAGCACTGGGAACACCCTCTAATCCCAGCTTGATCCTTACTGAGCAACAACCCCAATTTTAAGAGCTCCAGAGTATCCAATTGCTTCTCACCCTGGCAGGGTTTAAGTGAGCCTGGGCTTGGTGTTCTTGCTTTACTCCTGAACGGACATTTCAGAGCTCGTGGCACAGCTCCCTTTCCACAGGCAGGAGGAGAAGGAAGGAGCTGTCCCAGCAGGAGATGAGGTGCAGGGACACACCTGAAGGGTGGGGCTGTCAGAGGGGGCTGGACAAGCTGCAGGAGTGGCCCAGGAACGTCAGAAGGTTTAACAAGACCAAGTGTGCTGGTGCTGCAGATCCACACTCTGGAGCAAGGAAAGCTCCCAGAACAGCCTCAAGTTTGCACACTCAGCTCCAGTCAGCGCTGCCTGGGAGTGAAGGATCCCTGTGGCAGCTCCTCACGCAGCTCCCACACCTGTGGGGGCAGCTCAAACACAGGAGGCAGGGGGGGAACACATGGACTGCACAAAACATCTGCTCAGGACACTGCTGCTCCAGGCACCGAGCCACTGCTGGCCCAGGAGAAGCTGCAAACCCCAGTGCTGAGACTTTATTTAATTTGGGGTTTTGCAGCAGGAGCTTCATTTTCTGCTTTCCAAGTTTCACTTCAAGTGTGCACTTTGAACCTGGCAGGAACCAGCAGCAGAACTGGGCCACGACTCCCTGATTTTGGGACATCTGGAAGTTGCCATGGCACAAATCTCAGCTCCCCTAGCCCCTCTTCACTTCCCCCCGGTGTGTACGGCTCCAGTACAGCTTGTTCTTTGTCTACACATGCATTAAACAGCCTCATTTGTCCATATTTTCAGTTTTTACATTTCATGATGATTTTTCTTGATTTTAATCATCGATTCCCAGAACGGTTTGGGTTGAAGGGACCTCAAAGCCCATCCAGTCCCATCCCTTGTCATGGGCAGGGACACCTCCCACCAGCCCAGGTTGCTCCAAGCCCTGTCCAACCTGGCCTTGGACACTTCCAGGGATGCAGGGGCAGCCACAGCTTCTCTGCCCAACCTGTGCCAGGGCCTGCCCACCCTCACAGGGAAGGATTTTTTCCTGTTATCCAATCTAAACCTCCTCTCTTTCAGTTCTAACAGCCCTCAGAGTGCTGGTGAGAAGGATGACTCCAGCTGCCAGGGTTAGGAAGGATAATCACTCAGCAGGTCCTGCAGCCTGCTGTAGTTCCTACAGAACAACTGCCCACTCCAGTGAAGCTGGAGAATGCAGTGGTGAGGAGGAGCCCACCCACACCCATACCCACACCCACGGGCAGGAAAAGCCCCCCAGCTCCCCTGGGCTGAGCTGTTACAGGGTGGAGGATCTCCAGGTCAGTGCAGAGCGAGCTCAGAGGAAGGAGCCCAGGCTGTGCCTCGTGTCAGACATTCCCACAGAGCACAGCCCTGTTCCCAGGCACTGGGGAACTGTCCCCAGCCGAGCAGCAAAATTACAGGCCGGGAGTGGCTGTGGGTTGAGCTTTCTTGCTGACACAAAGAAGGGCTACAAGTCAATTTATAGTCACAGATCGGAGGCAACTCCTAATTCAGAAATTCCAGTTTTAAACCGCTTCCCACCAAATCACAGCCTGTGAGGATCCTCTCCTCCCAGAGCCCAGACAGGGCTTTGCCAGCAGCCTGGCTGAGGGAGCAGCAGTGCCTGTGGCACCTCCTGCAAACACACTCATGGAGTGCTGCCAGCACTGCAAACACAGGGCACAGCTGCACAGCTGCAGCCCTGAGTGGACTCCCAGGAGCAGCAAACTCCGCTCAGGAAAAGCTGCTGCTGCAGGAGGCCCCCCCTGCAGGGCCTGGGCTGTGTTACTCACCAGATCTGGAGCTTGATCTTCTTTCCTTGCAATTCAACAGTTTTAATCTTGAAGTCTATCCCTAAAATAAACAAACACATAAATAAGTAATTAGTGTTTATTAAAAAAATAAATAACTAAAAGCAATTCCACACCAACTCTGAATGGCTGAGGCAGAACAGCAGCTTTTTTCATAGAATAGAATCTTCAGGTAAACCATGGGATGTCCAGGCCCTCTGGAATGGGAGGGGAGCACGGGGACCAACCCAGCCAGGGCTTCAGAGGGTCTGCACTTGAGCACTGGGCACCTCCAGGGATCACAGGTCAGATCATGGAAGGGATCCTGAACTGGAAGGGACCCACAGGGACCACTCTGGCCCTGCCCAGACACCCCAACAATCCCACCCTGCCCCTCAGAGCGTTGTCCAAACCCTCCCTGAGCTGTGGCAGCCCTGGGCAGTGCCCATTCCCTGTCCCAGGGGAGCCCTGGCCCCCCTGCCCCAGCCCCAGTACACCCAGGGTCCCAGAGTCACCCCGGGCTGCCCCGTGCAGGCAGAAGGTTCAGGGCACACAAAGCCTCAACCAGCAGTAAAAGGGGAGTTATCAGAGCTGAGTCCCCTCCCCGGGGGCCATCCCTGCTCCAGGCCAAAGGCAGGACTTGCAGAAGTGACCAGGACTCAGAACTCAGAAAAGCACAGAGTACTAACAAGGTCTGTACTTTTAATATCAGCTAATAAAGAAGGTCCCCAAGCACCACATCCACAGGGATTTTAATCCCTGTGACACCAAACCTCCCTGGGCAGCACCTGCCAGTGCCTGACCACCCTTTCCAGGGACAAATTCCTCCTCATGTCCCCCCTGCCCCTCCCCTGGCCCAGCTGGAGGCCGTTCCCTCTCCTCCTGGCCCTGTTCCCTGGGAGCAGAGCCCGACCCCCCCCGGCTCCCCCCTCCTGTCAGGGATTGCAGAGCCAGAAGGTCCCCCTGAGCCTCCTTTTCTCCAGGCTGAGCCCCCTCAGCTCCCTCAGCCCCTCCTGCTGCTCCAGCCCCTTCCCAGCTCCGTTCCCTTCCCTGCCCACAGCTCCAGCCCCTCCCTGTGTCTCTGGTGTGAGGGGCCAGCCCTGCCCTCAGGATTTGAGCTTCTCTTCCCAAATCTGCCTACAAGAATTACCAGCAGAGGCTACACCAGAGGAGCGGGAACACTCCAAATCATCCTCTCAAACTGTTCTGACAGTAATTAGATGCCACAGTTCTGACTTTCAATTCCAATCAGAACAACTCCACTGATCATTTCTCATGTTTTCCAAAAACCTGTTTATATTTAGACTTTTAAAAAGGCAGCAGCTGCAATCCCAAACTTCCCTCCTAAATCTACAAGGTCATTTTATACCAAGTAAGATTAAATAGAATTTATGAAACACACTATTACATAAGAAGTTTGCATGGGAACTGTGCTTTGAACTGCTTTTAGCCCAACACCCTGCACAGAGCACGTCACAGAGGAGAGGCTGGAACAGCCCAGAACCCCCCATGGCCTGGGCAGCAGGGCTTGGGAGGATCCTGCCCCTCTGCCCCCTCAGCTGAGACCCCCCTGCAGAGCTGCCCCAGCCCTGGGGAACAGCAGCACAAGGACGTGGAGCTGCTGGAGACAGCCCAGAGGAGGCCACGGAGATGCTGCCAGGGCTGGAGCCCCTCTGCTCTGGAGCCAGGCTGGGAGAGCTGGGGGGGCTCACCTGGAGAAGGGAAGGATCCAGGGAGAGCTTGAGAGCCCCTTGCAGAGCCTGAAGGGGCTCCAGGAGAGCTGGAGAGGGACTGGGGACAAGGAATGGAGGGACAGGACACAGGGAATGGCTTCCCACTGCCAGAGGGCAGGGCTGGGTGGGAGATTGGGAAGGAATTCTTGGCTGGGAGGGTGGGCAGGCCCTGGCACAGGTTGGGCAGAGAAGCTGCCCCTGGATCCCTGGAAGTGTCCAAGGCCAGGCTGGACAGGGCTTGGAGCAACCTGGGCTGGTGGGAGGTGTCCCTGCCCATGGGACAAGATGAGCTCTGAACTCAAGGCCAACCCAGATGAACCATTCTTTCATTTCTATGTTTTTCCCATTGAAATATCAAATCCCAAAGCCCTTTCACACAGAAGTCAGGAATGCAGAGCCTCTCTGGGACAGGCTTCACCAAATGAGATTGGGGGAGGAGAATCCCCCTTCCCTCAGGCCTCTGTGGGGCAGGGATGGCTCCAGCTGGAGGGTCAAGTGCAGCCAAGGAGGAGAAGGAACCCTCACTGAGCCTCCTGGGGTTACCAAGTAATCATGAACTGGAGTGTGATGGGTCAAAATTCCCTATTCTAAGGATTTCAGGAGGAATTTCTTGCTGAAAAGGCTGGTCAGGCACTGGCAGGGGTTGCCCAGGGAGGTTTGGAGTGCCCAGCCCTGGAGGTGTCCCAGGCAGGCCTGCCTGTGGCACTCAGTGCTCTGAGCTGGGGACAGGGTGGGGATTGGGAACAGGGAGATCCATGGGCTGGGAGGGCTTTTCCAACCCGGATGATTGTGGGATTCTCTCATTTAAAGCACTGCAGTGACCAAAGGCCAAGGTCTGCACTGACCCCAGGATGTCAGGCTGGGACCCCCAGCCCTCAGCCCCAGGACACAGCTCCATTTTCGACCAGTCAGCCCCAGCAGTGCTTCAATCCCTCCCACTAAGCCAGATTTATGAATCAACCCAGGAACTGTCCTGTGTGGTTGGAAATGCAAACTGTCCCAAACGCAGCCGAGCCCACGTGCCACGGAGCTGTGGTGTGGGGTTCACCAGCAACACAACCAGCACAGCACCTGCCAGAGCACCATAAATAAAATATTTCCTACGCTGACAGTCACTTCCAGGCCCTGCCCAGCTCCAGCAGGATGTCTGACAGCCACTTTCTGTGTGTTAAGGTAAAGCAAGACGTCAACCCAGGCAGGGAAATTAACTCTTCTCTGCACTGTGAGGGATTTATCCAGCACTCAGGGATAAACAAACCTCTAATCCCACGTTAAACTCGGCTGCCATTCCAATATAATACCGGTTCAGCCTCGGGAACACAAAGGCTGTTATAAATAGCACCGACTGTTTGCCCCACAACACTCCAGAGGAGTTGGAGCAGGCTGGACAGGGGGCTCCCAGGAGGGCACTGCTGACATCAAAGCACCACCCCACAAGAACAGGGACAGGGGCGGGCGAGGCTCCAGGAAAACTGTGCTCAGGAAAGGGCTGAAGAAGGGACTGGAATGCAGAAGGGAGACATCATCCTCACATCACAGGAGGAGAACCACAGGGATGAATTAAAGATGAGCACGAAATTACTGCCTCGTTAGGTGTTGATATTGATTTATCAGCCTCAGCAGGGCACTCTGGAATTCACTGGAAAACCCGGAAGGATAGTGCCAGGTTTATAAAAATCCCATGGATTCCATACATTCAGATGAATATTTGGAAATGTTTGCTCCCCTTCAGTGCATCTCACACCAACAATGAAGGCTCCTCACAGGAAGATCCTCCCGGGCTTCCCATCCCTTCTGGGGTCCCTTCCAACTTCAATCTTTTAAATGGGGGGGCTCACCTGGAGAAGAGAAGGATCCAGGGAGACCTTGGAGCCCCTTCCAGAGCCTGAAGGGGCTCCAGGAGAGCTGGAGAGGGACTGGGGACAAGGGATGGAGGGGACAGGACACAGGGAATGGCTTCCCACTGCCAGGGGGCAGGGACATATGGGAGATTGGGAAGGAATTCCTGGCTGTGAAGGTGGGCAGGCCCTGGCACAGGTTGGGCAGAGAAGCTGTGGCTGCCCCTGGATCCCTGGAAGTGTCCAAGGCCAGGCTGGACGGGGCTTGGAGCAACCTGGGCTGGTGGGAGGTGTCCCTGCCCATGGCAGGGGGTGGCACAAGAGGAGCTTCAAGGTCCCTTCCCACCTAAACCATTCCAGGATTCGATGAGTCCATGGGCCCAGGCCTGACCAAACCTGAACTCAGGGCTTTACAAAAGACAGGAGCCAGTTATGGAATTTTTAGGTCCCTGCCTGGGGGTACCAAAGCTTAAGAAGCACCAGCAGTGGCTCCCACGGTCTGTGCAGACAAACCCTGCCCTTGCACAAACATTGGAGCCACCTCTGCCCATCCAGGGCAAACACAGGGCCCAGGGGGAGCTGCAGGGGCTGGGAGGTCACAGCTGGCACTCAACTCTTGCACCTTCCATCCACAGAGGAGGCTGCCTGTGGCTCCAGCTGAGCATCCCAGCGCTGCCTGGGCAGGTTTGGGCACCTGGGTGAACACACAACTGCTGGTTGTGCTTCCAGGATGGAAGATGTTACTGAAGACCCAGGACCTGCCTCAGCAGAACAGTTTTAAATCCACAATCACTTCCAGACCACTTCACACCTTCCCAAGCCCCTGCCAAGGTCCTGCAGAGATCCCTCCTCTGCTGCTGAATCACAGACTGGCTGTTCCTGAGAAGTAACAGAGCCAAGGCCACCGGGAGGAGAGGGAGGGAGAAAAAGTTCTCTTCCAGTCCATTGCAGAGCTGCAAATGATGAGCTGGGCCTTTTCACACAGCCCAAGTTTGTTTGCATTCCTCCCAAACAAAGCCCCCATTGAGCACGGGGAGGACGAAGGGCAGGGCGGGAGGAAGCAAATGTAGGGCAGGAGGAGGGAAAGGCTGCGGGGCTGGAGCCTGACAGGAACCCTCTGCACTGCACATCCATGCAGAGCACATCCATGCAGAGCACATCCATGCAGAGCACATCCATCCACAGCACATCCATCCACAGCACATCCATCCACAGCACATCTCAACCACAGCACATCCATCCACTGCACATCCCAACCACTGCACATCCCACTCTGCACTGCACATCCCACCCACTGCTCATCCATCCACAGCACATCCATCCACAGCACATCCCAACCACAGTACATCCCACTCTGCACTGCACATGCATGCAGAGCACATCCATCCACAGCACATCCCATCCAACCACTGCACATCCATCCACAGCACATCCCACTCTGCATTGCACATCCCATCCACTGCACATCCTATAAAACCAGCACATCCCATCCA